CACATACATACATGTGTACACACATACACACATGCATCCTATACCTTTTGATTTTCAGCACTTGAGCATTTATTACCCTCCCAAATCACTTTGCCACACATTGTGGTTCCTGGAAATCAATAGCAATATTTATGCATGTCTGCGGTAACACTAATGTTTCTCAATTACATCCCATCTTCGGGAGAAAAGTCTGATGCGTTGACTCCGTGCTCCTGCTCCAGCAGAGGCTTCGCTGTCAGGCTGACCGATCTAGCTCCTGTGGCCTACAGGGGCCTGTGTCCTGGGCATCTCCTGGGCTCGGTGTCCATCAGCAGCCAGGCGTTGCTGCCAGAATCCTGCTGCAGTCATAGGGAGGGTACCAAGGAACACCTCAGTTGTCGGTTCCGTGCCCTTCATGGAAAGTTTCTGCAGAGTGGCTTCGTGCTGAGGCTGCGAGAGGCCGCTGTGTGGGGCTGGTGGGGAGCATGTCTCCACAGAGCAGTGTAGGATCCCAGTGGCAGCAGGAGGGTGTTTCTTTGAGTCCTACATCTTACAAATGGCAAGTTTTCATGTGTATCTTACCTACTGTGCCCTTGTCTGCATTGAAAGGCTCCCCAGGAAGCCATTGGCACCCTAATGGGTACATCTTGCGTGGCCAGTGATGGAGGACAACCCTGTGTCATGTCTTTGAATTTTATTGAATCATTTTCATTTTTGAGAAAACAGTGTTCGTGTATTTGAAATCATTATATATTGTGCAATTGAAGATTTTTGCTTAAAAACATTTATTCATTTATTTGACAGGCAGGTGAAGGGAATGAGAGAGATCCTACTCCTTAATGTGTGCCATGGCTGGCCCAGGGCAGACCTGGGAGCCAGGAACTCCGACCGGGTCTGCCACGTGGGGCAGGAGCCCAGCGCTCAGCTTCTGCCGCTGTCCCGGGTGCTTCCTGAGAAGCTGGGTCTGAAGCAGGCTGGCAGGAACTGGCCGTCCACTGCAGGGTGTTGGTGTCGCCTGCTGCAGCTAAGCTCACACCTCTACCTTTCCTTTCTTTTTTTTTCTTTTTTTTTTACTGGATTAGTAGGGCTTTACAAAATGAAAAAAAATCAACTTCGTATCATATTGCTGGTGAATATTGGGATCGTTGGCTATTTTCCACCTTTTTTGCCTCATAATATGGCTATTGCGTTATTTGTTCTATCATTCACCTTACCAATATTTTCATCTAGTTTTGTTTGTTTGTGTTTGAGAGCTTAGAAAATTATTTCCTTGGAAAATCCATGAATCCATCACACACATGTTCTTTTTAAAAGCAATTAACTCTAATGCCTGTGGAAGTTACCATGAGTATGAGGCATAAGGAGAAGAGCTAACATCACATTGAAAATCCCATAATCCCCCTGGGTCCCTGGGCATTCCTCAGGGGAAAGAGTCTCCTGCCTCGTGTGTGTGCCAGGAGGTGGTGTCTGCTTCTTCAGTCATTGTTTTCTCCCTGATGTATCTATCTGTCAGTTGTATGTTAATTCCACAGTATCGTTTACGCTTTGCTTAAAGCATCAACCAAAATTTAATTGACCTGAGAAATCATCGATGCTTTGGTGAAGTCTTGCAGCTGTGAGCAAATTCACGAGAGCGCTGAGGGCGTGTGGATGACCGGGATGTTGTGTTAGCTGAGCACCGGGGCTGCCTTGGAGAAGAGACAGAGTTCACCATCGCACCTCCTCTCCCCTCAAACCAAGGCAGTGGATATTCTTAGTCATCTCACAACACTTGGAAGCCTTTTTTTAGAAAAGATGTATTTCTTTGTTTGAAATGCAGAGTGACCCAGAGGTGGGGACAGAGGGAGTTCTTCCATCTGCTGAGTCATCCTTCAAATTACCCTGGAGCTGGGTCATGCTTGGGGCAGCGGGGGCTCCATCTGGCTAAATGGGTGGCAGTGGCTCAGTGACCTGGACCATCTCCCACTAGCCTTCCATGTGACTCCATAAGTAGCTAGATCAGATGTGGAGCGGCAACAACTGGGAATGGAGTTGCCTGTGTCACAGGAGGAGGCTTATCATCCTGGGCCATGACACCTGCCATGCTAAAAGGCATTAAAATATGACTCACACTGCGGGGTCTTCTCTGCTGGGGTCTCTCTCCCTCCTCACTGTTGCTTCCTTTGTTATGGATTTTGCACTTGCTGCCACGGTGTGGGTGAGGCACCACTGATGCAGCTGTCCAGGTGTTAGGCCTGGGAGGCAATGCCAGTGGCCCCACTCAGTGCTGAGTGAGCACCTGCCAGGTTGGAACCAGGCAGCCCTGCTCCACACTCAGCCACCTGGAGTGGCAAGAATGCCAGTGCCAGCCTACTCCTCTAGTCCTAGAGAATATTGCAGAGAACGTGAGAGTGGAGACAGATTATGCAAAAGCCCCAAGGAACTGGACCCCTTGAGTGGGGTCCTCGGGGTGCCACGGGGCCGTATAGACCTTTGTGATTGGTGCTGTGCGAGGTCCTTCCTGCTACCTGCTACCTCCGGTTTGTCCCCATGGCATTAAGCCTAGTCCAGAGGACAGCTGGTGAGAGGATGCTGTCTGTCTCTGCTTGTGTTTTTGATTCATTTTCTGCCAGTTTGAAAACAAAAGCTCTGCTGTATACCAGGGAATTTGAACAGGTGCTTGGTGTGTGTACCAGCAGAGGGACTGGAGAGGTGGGGCTGCAGGGGTAGCTGCTGTCACTTCCTGCTGGCCCAAAGGCACTGCTGTGACAGGTAGGTAAGTGGCCTGGGGATGACCAAGCAGGTGCTGATAAATCAGTGAGCTCAATCTGGAAGGAAGCTGTGTGTGAGGTCAGGTGTGTGGGGAGGAGGGGCTCAGGAGGAGCGTCCTGGACACAGCGCAGCGTGTGGCACTGAGTGGGTTTTCCAGGAAGCAAGAGGACTTGGGAAGTGCGACACGGGGACGCAGAGCCATGAGCAGGGATGGGGGTTGTGGAACCACAGAGCTCAGGGTAGGAAGGGGAGAGGGGCGCAAAGGGGCTGGCTCTGGAAGTCTGAGTGCTCCAGGTGCAGGGGCACAGGTCTGGGGGCACAGGGAGCAGCATCTGGCAACGGCGATGACCGACTTGTGCCCAGCCCTGCTCTCCCGAGGTGGCTGTGAACATCTGTGAGGTGTGACCCTGGCTCTCTGGGGTCAGCCACAGTGTGTGATGGCTAGGAGAGCTTGAGAGTTCACTGAGGAATGCCTTGCAGGTTGAGTGTGTTGGGGACTGGAGCTCCTGCTGCCCATCCAGCAGACTTTGGTGTCATATTCTGGGCTGCGAGAGGCAGGGAGAGAGTCACTGAGGAAGAGATGACACAGTGGGTGTGGTAAGATGTCTTGATTTGACCTTGGAACTCCAGTATTTCCCAGCTTATTCCCTTCTGTAAATCAAATTCCTATGGCTCTCAGGCTTTTTGTTTCTTTATTTCCTTTTTTTAACAGTTGGGTGTTTTGTTTTGTCTTAAGATTTGTTTCTTTTTATTGGAAAGTCAGATATACAGAGAGGAAGAGAGACAGAGAGGAAGATTGTCCATCCGATGGTTCACTCCCCTCAGTGGCCACAACAACTAGAGTCGAGCCAATCTGAAGCCAGGAGTCAGGAACTTCTTCCAGGGTCTCCCACAAGATTGCACGGTCCCAAGGCTTTGGGCTGTCCTTGACTGCCCTCCCAGGCCACAGGCAGGGAGCTGGATGGGAAGCAGGGCCGCCAGGATTAGAACTGGCGCCCATATGGGATCGCGGTGTGTGCAAGGCGAGGACTTTAATCACTACGCTATTGGACCGGGCCCAAGGTTTTTTATTTCTTAAAAAAAATATATATATATATATAGTTTGTTTCAAAATACATATATCTAATTATGAGACACTTAAGAAAATAAAACAGATTGATAAAAATAACTGCAGGTGAAAAATGAGGTGGGACACTGCTGAGTTGTGATTTCTGACAATATTTCATCTGGATGAATCTTTCCATGTGTTTCACCGACTGCAGAAGAACTCCTGGACATGTTAGACGCGATGTGAACTGGCCAGCTTTATTCACGAGGTCGCTGCAGACGGAGGGGGGTGGTGTGAAAATCCAGGTAATGTCAAGTGTGCCGACATCCCCCAGCACTTGGGCCAGAAGGCCCTCGAGGAAATGAGAGTGTTTGAAGATGCAGCGAAGAGGAAGCCCTGACGTTGGAGCTTCTGCGTGCAGGCAGGGTGAATACCTCTCCATCTCAGACCCCTCGAACAATCCTACCACACAATCACAGAAGCAAGGTAAGGCATTTCCACAAGCAGATAGATTGCAACAGGGGGTAAAACTTGATGTGGAATGGTCAAAAGGCTCATCTATATTTTCAAAAACACAGCAAATGCTGCACTATCAAGAATGCAATACTTAAATTTTTTCATTATTTTAAAATATTTCTTTCTATTGAGAAGTCACATATATGGAGAGGAGTAGAGGCAGAGAGGAAGATCTTCCATCCGATGATTCACTCCCCAAGCGGCTACAATGACTAGAGCCGAGCCAATCTGAAGCCAGGAGCCTGGATCCCTCTCCAGGTCCCCCATGCGAGTGCAAGATCCCAAAGCTTTGGGCCATCCTTGACTTGCCTTCCCAGGCCACAAGCAGGTTGTTGAATGGGAAGCAGGCTTCTAGGATTAGAACCAGCACCCAGATAGGATTCCGGTATGTGCTAAGCTATCATGCCAAGCCCAAGAATGGAACATTTCTTAATGTGAATGCCTTGCGTGTGTGTGTGTGTGTGTGTGTGTGTGTGTGTGTGTGTGTGTGTGTGTGTGTGTGTGTGCATGTTCCTGGAATAGCATACCCATACAGAAGGAATCACCTGCACCGGAGCCAGGCTCTGTCTGGAGACCTTCCCTCAAGGCAGTGGAGAGGCCCAGAGGAAGACACCCACCCAGTGGACCCACCAATCCACCTACCAAGCAGCCTGACCCACAGCCTTCTGCACTGTGCTCATCACCAGAAGGGCTGCTCAGGATGTTGGAGGGTGACCGTGGCTCGCGCAGGCCCAGAAGGTCAGCCACTGGACTGGGTGTTGCCCACAGGCACTTTGAAGTGAAAGGGGAGTGTCTCATAGGGAAAGATTTCACTTCGTCTGGAAAGGAAAGATTGATCGATCAGGTTCAGAATAAAGCACGTTTGATCTGTAGTTGTGTTTAATGTTCCAAACAGGACATTCACATACTCCGCTAATGTATCCGTGCTCTGAGATGTGGAGATGCGACCTGTGCACCTCGTCCTGGGAGGCTCCTCGAAAACCGGCAGTGTTCTCCCAGGTTCTCAGGTGAGTGCTTGATTCAGGTCGCCTGCACTTTTCCCAGACCTGGGCTACGCTTCAGCCGGTTGGAATGCGACTGTGAGTATCAGACTGTGTTCTGCAGCATGCCACCTGCGAGGGATCTGTCCTTCCTCACACACCAGCCCCTCCCTTTTCTTTGCAGGGAGCTGTAACATGTCCTTGCAGGCTGTGATCTAGAAAGCACCCCGACAAACAAAAGACCTAAGGGATCAGCTCTGATAGTAAGAATCGCTCCTGCTCAGATGGACAAGAACAAGCAGATGAACATGTCAGTGAAACACAAAGCTGCCTATTGTGTTTGTACACAGGTGTGCTCGTGTCCACCTGCAGGCTCCCACGGAGTGCAGGAACATGTGACTTGAATTTACACCACCTGAGACACACCAGTGAGGGCCCTGGGCTTGAGGTTTTTTAATCTATCTAAGACTTAGAAGGGGGTCAACTCATTCTGGCTAGGAAGGTCTTCTCCAGGGCTTGCACAGTCCAATGATGCATCCTGGCTAAACTGTAGCCGCCAAATGAAGTTACCTCGCTTAGCTTATGACAGCAGCCTTAGTTTACTTGAAACAGTGCAATTTTACCTTTGTAGATGTGTTTTAACCTCCAAAAGTCAACAAGAAATGTGGATATGATAAAGTCATACTCTATGTTCCAAGTGATGTGCGTGGATAATCACGTATGGTTGACATTTTGTCCCGTATTACCAGTAACCTTTCTTTTTGGAGGTTTATCAAGACTCCCCTGATCCGTGCTCTTGACTCCTGAAGATTGCAGGCACATGATTTTTGCAGAAACATTCCACATGCTGCTTCACCTGCTGTTTCCGTGTGGTTAGAGCTGGATCCTGCATCTTTCGCAAGCATGGTGCTGACAAGATGCTGTCTTCACTGCATGTCCTACCAAATGTTTAATTTCCCCTTCACCCATGATGCAGAGTTCAAAGAATGGGAAATTTGAGAAGTAATATTTTGAGGGTATTTGTATATTTCACTCCTTATCAAACTTCCAGTTTATCCAACTTGCATACTCAGACTCACATTTCTTTTTACACTGGACGGTAGGTTTTTACTGTCCAATTTATCTTAATGCTTGCATTGTCCAAGATATTGGTGGTGGGAGCCCTCCAAGCTGGCTTCCTCACCCTTCGTCACACTGCCATCATTCTTTGAGCAAGTCCTGATTTGCTGGCACGAGGTGGCTTAACACCATTGTGTGCTTTTTTGCCCAAAGGCTACAATGAGCCTCCTCTCCCAGGAGTCTAGGAGTGAAACTTCCTCCTCCTCCTCTTCTTCTTCAAGATTTATTTTATTTTTATCGCAAAGTCAGATATACAGGGAGGATCTTACTTCTGATGATTCATACCCCAAGTGACCACAATGGCCGGTGCTGTGCTGATCCGAAGCCAGGAGCCAGGAACCTCCTCCAGGTCTCCCATGTGGGTTGCAGGGTCCCAAAGCTTTGGGCCGTCTCGACTCCTTTCCCAGGCCACAAGCATGGAGCTGGATTGGAAGCAGAGCCACTGGGATTAGAACTGGCACCCATATGGGATCTTGGCGAGTTCAAGGCGAGGACTTTAGCTGCTAGGCCACACCGCTGGGCCCAGGAGTGGAACTTCTAGTGGAATGTTGCACTTGGAAAGCGGGGTTTGATGTGCAGCCATCAGAACTAGATCTATTGTGTGCACACTTACACTAAAACACTCCCCACCCCCCCACACACTAACTCTAGCGCTGTTTCTCCGTGTTTACTTTCATAAGAAGCTGAAAAACTGCATGTATGAACCTCAGATTTCTACTCAGTGTCCACTTTCATTTCCCCCTTGCTTATCTACAACTCCTTACCAGAGTGAAAAACTGGGCACCTATTTCTCCTCTGCTATTGACTCACTCTTCAGGCCCCTGGGTGTGCAACGCCTCAAAGTGGCCTCAGCCCCAATAGGCAGTGTCCTCCACAGTTGGTTGTAAAGTGTATTAAGTATCTTTTTGAAGGTGAGTCTCACTGGCTTGTCACTTCCTCCTGAACCCTGCATGATACGCAACAGGTACAATAGCGGAGTGGGTGGGGCTGACACAGACCCCGTGCATGGAGAGAAGGGAAGCACAGTCTGAAGCCTAGCTCCCAAAGGGGTGGTGAAGCCGTCCTGTGCCTCACAGGAAGGACTTTTGAAGGGATGTTGTTTCAACCCCTGGGAGTGGGGGACACAGAGGTCAATGGGACTTTCTGCTCAGGCACTGGGGACACTCGTTAGAATGGTGAGACTCTGGAAGGCACAGGGGCATGTGTGTGTGTGTGCGTGTGTGTGTGTGTGTGCGTGTGTGTGTACCTGTGCAAACAAGGTTTCTCCTCATGTGACTGGTGGGAAAGAACAGGAGTTGCTGTGGAGGCTGCAAGTGTGCAGGTTCAAAGGGAGCCCTGAAATGTGGGCTCTGGGACTGGCCCTCTGTGCACCGCTGCATTGCTGTGCCTCTGAGCCACACTCAAGGCTGACCCTCTGTGCACTGCTCCAATGCTGTGCTCTGAGTCACAGTCAAGGCTGACCCTCTGTGCACTGCTCCAATGCTGTGCCTCTGAGCCACACTCAAGGCTGACCCTCTGTGCACTGCTCCAATGCTGTGCCTCTGAGCCGCACTCAAGGCTGGCCCTCTGTGCACTGCTCCATTGCTGTGCTCTGAGCTGCAGTGCAGGGTTTTCGTGGGAACTCTGACACCGCAGGTGCACTGGAGCATTTCCTCTGTAGGCCCTTGCAGCCAGGTTCACAGTACAGCTCAGCCACAAGCCAGGCTTCTAATTTTACATCCAGAAGAAGTGGAACCTTGCCTCTGTCTTCCCGATTCCTCATGTGCTGTCAGCTTCGTGCAGGGACCCTGCTATGCTCCTTGATGGCAGCAGCCTAGTGAACGAAGGCTCTGCCCTCGCCACAGTCCCCTCACATCTGTCCTGGAGCCTGTCCCCATGTGGGGAAGCAGAATCTTACTAAGGGAGTGCAGAGTGGATCTTCATCAGTGGCCTCACCCACTTGGATCTTCCTCTATTCAGGAAATGAAGGACACAGGTAAGGAGGTAGACCTTACCAGCAGGGCTGAGTAATGGCGACCTTTCCATGTCAAGGGTGTCCACAGGTATCTGTCTCCTTCCCCTCCAGCCGGACTTAAGACCGCTGTCAGACCTGCCCTAAATGCTGCCAGGTTATGGTGTTGTTTTAAGTTCCCATGAACAATCATCTGTACTTAGACACACCTGAGCAAGTTATTGTACAACTGTGCATATGTGTGTGTGTGCATGTTTGTATAGGGGTAATAGCTACAGAGAATAAGAAATGGAGATAGCAAGCTGATCTACTCTGGAAGCCACTGACAATGGCTTGGTTCTATTTTCAGAGTTTTAACTATGTGTTGCAAAGCACAATTACTGTTCTCTGTCTTCATTATCTCCCACCCTTATAAGACTTCACAGGTGAGTTGAAGATTTGTGTTGACTCAGAACTAAACTTTGCACTTGGTGTCAATCACTTCGCCTGCAGAGCTAGCAAGCTCTGTGAGCCGGAGAGTCTCCTCGCATTTACAAATCAACTTTATTCTTGGGAATCTCTTTCCTTTTGGTCCTGACTCAATCTCTGATCTTAGTTATCCATGCTCCATCAAGCCTGTATTTCCTGTGTCTTTTGACAGAGTTCAGCATTTGCAATGGGCGTGGTAAACCTCAGTCCAACCTGGGTTTGCATTTGTGGTTGGAGACTGTGCAGAACGGATCCTACGAGTCTGAGTGCAAGTATATGGTGCTAGTGTGTGCTTGTGTGTGTGCATGTGAGTAGCTGTGTAAATACACGTCTATGCATGTGTGTGTTTGTGTATGTGTGTAAACTGACTTCCTAGATGCAATTTACGGCTTGTCAAAGACATCCATCACTATTGACAATTTTGCTCTTAATTTGCATAAACAAAAAATGGAAACCAATCTTACATTGGTGCTTCTGGGCTCACTCGCAGGGAAATCTGGAGGAGTTCTTTGAAGAAATCTCACTGTTTGCATAACATAAAAATGTAGTTTGTGATGTAACATCATTCATTCATCTATTCGTTTAAACATTTTTGAAAGCATCTCAGTGTGCCAGGAACCATGATAAGTGAGCAAATTCACACATCGTCCTTTCCCTTATGCAACTTTTGTGTAGCACCAGAGATGGTTTTCAATTAAATAGCCAGACAAAAATGGAGAATCACAGCCATGCATGCCAACGAAAAGAAGTTCAGAACTTTCAAAGTGCCTGCAACCATGATGAGGAGGGGCAGTGTCCCATAGGAAATCCTTTTTGAACTTAGAGATTAAGTGTGGATGGGATTAGGGCAGGTTAGCGGAATTTTTGTCTTAGGAGAAAGCATGAGAAATACCTTCGTTGGACATGATCAGGCTAGTCCCCAATACTGAGAACACCCTGTTGCCTGGAACATGGAGAGCATGCATGCCTACACTGCAAGAACCCTTGAACTTGCTGGAGCCATGAGCACAGAGGATTCAGGGGCATGGTGGAATTCTAGCAGAGGGTGTCAGCTTGTGGTGGTGCAGCAGAAGCAGTAGGCTTATTGCCAGCTCTGTGCTGGCCCTGAGGCAGGGCAGAGTGGATGAGGTGTAGGGAGTGGAATGACATCAGTGGGATTTTAGGAGATACTGAGTTAGAAGAATGAAGATGAAGGCAGGAGAGGTCAATTTTAGGCTTCTGACCGTGTATAGAGGGGCTGGTAATGGTTCAGTGAGGTGAGAAGTAATGGAAGAGGATTTGTAGGGGGAAAGTTCTGGAGTTCTCAAGTGATGCATGGATTCAAGGTGCTTTAAAACATTCATGAAGCTTTTTAATGGACAACTGACCATTAGCTCTTACAGGAGGGAGCTGAACTGAGGCCATGATGCCAAGATCATCTGACTGTGTGAGGTCACTTGGGGACAGACAAAAGGCTTAGGAAGTGAGAGAAAGGGGAATGGATCAAGTTCTCCATCTGCCCACTGTCTGGTGACTAGCACCTGCCCTGCATCACATGAGTCAGCCTCATGGACACTGAGTGGAAGGCCTCTTCTGGGACCTGAGCCGTGATCCCTAAGTCGGCTGAGTAGCTTCTAAATGCTGCTAGTGTCCAGGCTACTTCGAAACCGCACACAGGAGGCCCTTGGACGTGACTCTCAGGCCTCTGAAGTTTCCCTGATTATCTAGTTGCGGCAAGCTTGTGGACTATTGCTTTAAAGACGACTAAAGCTTGGATAAGATGAAGTGTCTG